CCAAATGTCATCTCACCCGGTCAGAGTAGTTTCTGCCTATGATTTCTCCCTTTATGCTCGTTCACTCGTCACTCCAAACAGAACATTAACTCTGATGATTCAGCTTTTACTGCTCATATGACCATAACATACATCATCCGAGTCAGGGCATCTGTGTGGGTACATGGGGGCACTATTGAAAATTACTTTGGGTCAACAGGTGTAAACCAGGACTGTCCTGAGCAAGCCAGGATGTATGGTCACATTACCAGTACATAAAGTTCTTCATAAAATCCACATGTACAGGTGTTCAGTAAATAATGAATTGTATCTCTTTCTAGAGTAGGCTTTGAGGAATCACAGCCTTTTAGGGAAGTGAACATCACTCTTCCCCTGTTCCATCACAGCGCACATTAGTGTAACTATAGAACTCAGGCATTTTCAGTCCCGCTCTCTGCCATTTTTACCAGACAGACACAATCAGACATTATTTTCTTATAAAGAAACTCATCTCTATTTAAGACACATGATGCTTTTTTTTTTTACAAGTTAGAACCAATCATACATTAACTCTCATATCCTGAAGTGGTAGCAATAGGCTCTTTGGTTGACCACTCTCTATTTCTTGAAAACACAGACAACTCACACACACACAACTTTGTAACTTTTCATCAACAAAAGAGCTGAAAACTAGGAGCATGAGGAAGAGGAATTTCCTTGTCTCATCAGAAGTGAGATCATAAATGCCAGGCAACCGTGGTAGTCCACACTATTGCTTTATCATTGGGGACCTTTAAGGATCCAGGGCTGAGAGCAAATAAATAAGCTTTCCTGATTGGTGTCAAATTACACAGTCAAGGTCTGTTTGGACCCCTGTCTTTTGAGGAGTTCTTGGGCACCGAAATTTAATCTGTATTCAACCACATTGACCTTATCCACTCCAATGGGCTGACTTATCTTTCCTGATGCCGTGTTAAAAATATAAAGACCTGCTTATAAAATTAACAGATTATAACATTAACTATATGGAAAGAACATTTCCATTTTTCCTTTTTGTCACCTCACACTTCATCATCTCAGGAAGGGGGGCAACCACTGATGATATGACCTGAGGCATGCCCTGGGCCATTGAAAAAGCAAAGTCAGGTACCTTTTATTTCTTCCTGATTTTCCACTCACACGTCTTGCTTTGACTACACACATACTGATGATGATGATGATGATGATGATGATGATGATGATGATGATGATGATGATGGTGGTGGTGATGGTGATGATGATGATATAGAGGAAGAGGAGAAGGGGAAGGAGAAGGAGAAGAAGATGATGAAGAAGAAGAAGTAGGAGGAGGAGGAGTAACAGGAGAAAAAGAAGAAGATGAAGAAAAGAGGAAGAAGAAGAGCATAATTTCCTCTCAGTACTCTGAGGTTTTGAGAAGTTTTTATTGATTTTTTTTTTATAGAGAGGAAGGGAGAGGGATAGAGAGTTAGAAACATCACATCAATGAGAGAGAAACATTGATCAGCTGCCTCCTGCACACTCCCTACTGGGAATGTGCCCACAACCAAGGTACATGCCCTTGACCAGAATCGAACCTGGGACCCTTGAGTCCTCAGGCTGATGCTCTATCCACTGAGCCAAACCGGTTAGGGCATGAGAAGTTTTTCATTAGTGGCTAAAAACATATGAGCACAGAACTGCTAGTGCATTTTATTTCCATTATTCCTGGAAATACAGTGGTATTTTCAAACATCCAGTTTTTCTTTGCTGATTGAGAAGGAGATATTCAAGTCCTGCATTTATCTATGGGGCTTGCTACATGTCCCATCTTTGTTAAAGTATATTTTATTGATTTTTTACAGAGAGGAAGGGAGAGGGATAGAGAGTTAGAAACATCACATCAATGAGAGAGAAACATCTATCAGCTGCCTCCTGCACACTCCCTACTGGGGATGTGCCTGCAACCAAGGTACATGCCCTTGACCAGAATCGAACCTGGGACCCTTGAGTCCGCAGGCTGACACTCTATCCACTGAGCCAAACCAGTTAGGGCTACATTTCCCATCTTATATTGAGCTCCTAGGTCTCACCACTATGGGACACTATTTAAACGTTAAAGGCTGCCTCCCCCCAAATACGGCATACTCCAATGCAATTACAACAATTTAAATAGCCCAATGAAAATATTTATTTTAACATTTGGCCAGGGGAAAATCTAAAATAATGTTTAAAGAAAAGAGCATAACCTAGTTATTATTCATGAGTGACTATTCAATAAAATGAACCAGAAAAAAATGTCTAAAGGTTAAATTGAAATCCAAGTTGAATATAGATCAGCAAGATAGAGTTATTGCCTTGAAAAGCATGACTCTTTCTTTCAATAACTATTATTTTAGTATTTCTCCAAACCATACTCTAAAAATATGTAAAGCTATGCATGCCAAGCATACTGCTCTCAATGTACTTTCAAAGAAAGGGAATTAAATAAGCACCAATAATATGCAGTGCTCCCCAAACAGAACAACCCTACAACCTTACCTTATATGATTCTCATGAACATTTAGTGACAGCATATTTGCACAGCCTTTAGAACTCTCTGACACATAGTAGTAAGCACTATATAATTGTTAAGTCGGTAACAGGGCATACAATATGTACCATTAGATAGGCAGAAGCAGACATGGCATATAAAAATTGTACATAAATAACAAATGGTTAATATCTAGGAAATTTTCATAAAGAAGGGGACACAGAATGGATGTAAAAATTGAAAACAGAACTTATTAAAGTTACTAAAGCAAAATGAAACACCATCAGCTTGGGAACAGATTTGAGATAAATTCATAAGCCAGTGAATAGACACAGGTGCCAAGAGTATAGGAATGGGAGATTGGGCTTGAATAGTGAATTAGGCAGTAATGGGGTGCAGAAAATGCTCTTGTAACACTTGTTAATATTACAGTATTTGGTGATACTTACAAGAAGACAAATCCTTTTTGAAGTAATCAATCTTACCAGAGAGTCCAATGTGTAGCTATGTAATGGTCACAAAGAACTATCATGCACAGCTTTAGCAATGATTACTATTGCTGCTATGCTGTTCTTAGAGCATAGATTCCTTATAAGGTAAGAAATATTTGACCTTGATGTAGCTTTTCACACTCAAGTTGGCACACTTAGTCTTAAAGCTGTGACTGATTACACACTTGCCAATCTGTTTAGCCAATAATTGCTTAGAATCATTTCCTTTCTCACCTTTTGCCCAAAACAAGCTTATGAAGAAATATCCAGTGGAGAAGAAAGGGACAACTCCTATGTTCATCCCTCAGAGCTGAAGTCTTATTCTCTATGTTCTATCTCCAGCTCAGACTTCCCCTGGGTGTAGATTGGGAGATGATTGAGGGCAGGACCCATCATATCCATCCTGTAGCCCCAGCATCTAGCACAGAACATCATATAGTAAATCTATATGAATGACAGTTTAGATTGGCTTAATTGGATTGGGTTGGGTTGGGTCGAATAGGATCAGATCAAAGTGAATAAAAAGTAAAGCATGTACCCCTTTCTTATACTAACAGAAAGTACAAAGTTTTAAATAAACCCTGTTTAAAAATAGCTCATCATATATGGTTGAGAAAACATTTTTGTACAGATTTAGGGACACAAAAAGCTTTCTTGTACAAGAAATATATGAGACTTTCAGTGCAATGAGTTCATCTTAAGAGACAGAGAAAAAATACCTACCTTATCATAGATCAAGTTGATGTAACACTTAGATGAGCACATTTATATACTTGCATCATAGAAAAAGATGCTTGCAGTGTGAATAATATGCCACTTTTAGTTATTAGGCAACTACTTCTACCCCTTAGCAAAGCGTTACTAAAAGGATAGTCTTCTAACAAGGGATGTGCTGCAAACTCCTCATTTTTAAACCAGTACTATTTAAATCCACACATGTTGAACAAACCAAAGTTCCAATAGTTTCTTGGAAATGAACAGCAGCCTATAGATGTGTCACTAAAATAATTAAAAATTAATTCAGAAGTAAGATAGAAAAGAACTTTTATATTTTTCCAGTCCCCTTAATCTCTCACACAATGATTGGGAAAGTCCTCTCTCTGAAAATCCTATTTGACCTAATATATCTGAAAATGAAAAAGAACCATGTTATTTGTATCTGAAGAAAGTTTCTAAGAAAGAGTCAGACATGCAGTTAACACAGTGTGTCTAGACTCCACATGGTTATGCTCTTCACTCACTTTTATTGACAAAAACTATTCCTTACAAACTGGCTGATGCCCAGAAAAAAAGTCTATGTTCTCTATTTAGATTGATTTTCCTTTTGCTTTTTCATGTCTATCTTGGCGGAGGTAGCTTAGAAGTATTCTCTGGAGCTATTGCAATAAGTCATAAGTGGGGGAAAATATCTTATTCTAGACTTATTAGACCTTGGAGACTATGAAGATCCGAGGATTAATTTTTCAGACGTTAAATAGACCAAGCCAGACATAAAAGGGTAAATACAGAATGATTCTACCCGCGTCAAGCTCTGAAACAGGCAAGACTGTTCTGTGGTACTAACTGTCAGGACAGCAGTTATTTACCCCAGACCTCTGGGATGGTGGTCGATGGGGTTGTTCCTGGATGCGAATGTCGTGACATGAGTGGGCTCAGCCTGTGAATATTTATTAGCTATTCATTTATCCTCTGGGTAGATGCTATACCTCCATAAAAAGTCCAGAATAACATTAATATAATAACAGACATGAAAAGCAATCAGATTTCCTTTGTCTAAATCCAACAGTATATTCGTCACAGATCGCAATACTTGTGTTGTCCCAAATCATAAGACTGCGTGCCAGCAGAACCAGCAGTTTGGATCCTCTGCTTCTGTCTTGTGATTGATTATTCTCCCCCCAATCTCAAGCTGGGTCACACTGTAAGGCCCATGGCACAGCCTGCTGCCGGAAGGCTGCCCACCTTCCTCTCTGAACTAACGCTGTTTGCCATGTTAACAGGCGAGTTGTGTGAAGAGAAGCTGGACTTCTGTGCCCAGGACCTGAACCCCTGCCAGCACGACTCCAAGTGCATCCTGACGCCAAAGGGAGTCAAGTAAGTCAGGGGCTGCCTCGGTGCTCACCTGGGGGCCCCCTCTGCTGGGAGCTGCTCTTCTCCACCTGCCCTCAGGCTCTGGCTTCACACCTTTGCTCAGGATTAAAGGGACATACTCTCTGGGGTCCAAACATTTGTATAAATGGTCATAAACAGCATGGACTTTGCTTTAGTACACTGAAAAATAAAATAAAAGAGAGAGTTTTCTTTTTATCCATGACTCTTCCTAAGAAGGTGTGCATGAAGTAAAATAGCCTTTGACTATATTTATGAAAATGTCTTTGAAGGCTGAATAAATTTGGAATATCTGGTAGGTTCTTTATTATTTGAATGTTTAATTTAATTTGATCTGCAGCAGTGTTTTAACTCTCCAAGGTGAGGAAGAGAGAGGGCCCTATGTCCCAGGTTGTCCAGGGACAGTCCCAGTTCATGCCTGTTGTCTCAGCATATTCATTGATAGGACCCCCTTCACCTTATATACATCTTGGGGAGGATGGTAAAGCATACAGCCACTCCGAGTAGAGAGCTCCCTCACCTGAACTCAGAACTTCAAAATCATTTTTTATGTCTTCCTCAGCAATCTTCCTGAAATAGGTTTGGTATCAAATTAAATTACATCTTTGGCACAATCCTGAAATATCTCAAGGGTCTATCAACAGCAACTTCTCTCCTTAGAGACAGTAGTAGTTTAGAGACCATTGTGCCCAAATGCTTCCTTTTAAACATGAGGAAACCGGGCCCAGAGTGGTCAGTGGCTGTCCAGGTATCTCAAGGTTATTCATGGGCAGAGCTGGAGCTCAGATATATACTTCCCAGCTGGGTGATTCTTCTAACACAGGCAACCCCTAAGGAGTTTTGTAGTTTCTTAACATTGCAGCTGGCTTACTATGGAAGGTAAGCCGGACGCTCAGGGATGACCCACCCGGGTTCAGGAGTTGAGCTGTGCTTACATCAGACAACTAGCAAATAACATCATTTGTTCCTTTCCACAATATTTTATTGAGCACCTGCCATGGGTGAGGGCACGTGGCAATAGTACCATCTTATATTTTTATACTGCTCTATAGCTACTCACTTTCACATACTTGATCTTCTCGATGAAATTACTCAGGCATCATTGCCATGGGATTCAGAGAATTAAAAGTGACTCAGGTCAGGAACAGTTTTGTGAGAGGAGATGGGATTCAAGCTGGGACTCTTAACATTGAAATTTGTCAACGGATCATCAGACAATGTCTGTAGGATGGGAGGTAAGGGTCAGTATTACCAAGACCCCGTCACTGCCTTTAAAGACGAATCTGAAAAATATCTATTCTCAAGATGTATTTAATTCTTTGATGCAACTTGGCTTAAAATTTATCATTTTAGAATATACAGATACAGTTTCAACATCTACTGATTCCATTTGATGACTTACTAAAAAGGAAAAGAATATCTTTTATACTACTTTTCAAATTTTAGTTTATACTTCCCAAAAAACCACAGAATTCTTAGTAAAATCTTTATACAAAATTCTGCATTGCATTTTTGTTCATCTATATACTGTACATAAATTAGTTGAACTCCTAATGTCTTTGATCTGCCCACAGTTGGCAAGTTGAAAGTCTATCACTTCCATTACAAATATCATTTCTCAGATAAAATCATCAGCAAAGAAGGTGGTTTTCCATAACTGCTTAGCTGCTGTATAGGTTTCATAGGATTTTGTGCAATGCAATTATAAGATAAAATATTAGTAAGACAATGGAAACCATTACAGAATGAGAAAGTTCATCTTCAGAAAGATGAATCTTTAATTCAATGTCTTCTATTACCATCATGAGATTGCATACTCTTTTTTCAGTTACAGTTGACATTCAACATTATGTTATATTAGTTTCAGGTGTACAGCTTAGTGGTTAGACATTTATATAATTTACAAAGTGATAGCTTGATAAGTCCAGTACCCACTTGGCACTATACATAATTATAACAATATTATTGAATACAGTTCCTATGCTGTACTTCATAGTCCCCTGACTACATTGCAACTACTGATTTGTAGTTTCTAATCCCTTCACCTTTTTCACCCAGTCCCCCAACTCCTCTATCCTCTGGCAACCATCAGTTTGTTCTCTGTATCTATGAGTTTGTTTCTGTTTTGTTTGTTCATTTATTTGGTTCTTTAGATTCTACATATAAGTGAAATCATATGGTGTTTGTCTTTGTTTGACTTATTTCACTGAGCACAATACCCTGGAGATCCATTCATGTTGTCAGAAATGGAAATATTTCATTCTTTTCATGACCGTGTTCTATTCTATTGTATGGATGTGCCACATCTTCTTTATCCACTCATCTATCAATGGGCACTTAGGTTGCTTCCATGTCTTGACTATTGTAAGTAACTTTGCAATGACCATAGGGGTACATATATCTTTTCGAATTAGTGTTTTGGGTTTCTTTGGATAAATACCCAGAAATGGGATTGCTGGGTCATAAGGTAGTTCTGTTTTTAATTTTTGAGGTTGCACACTCTTTTTTGCAGTTGTTTTTATTGATTTCAGACAGAGAGGGAGAGAGAGAAACATCAATGATGAGGGAGAATCATTAATCGGCTGCCTCCTGCACACCTTCTACTGGAGATCAAGCCGGCAACCACAGCATATGCCATGACTGGGAATTGAACCAATAACCTTTTGGCTCATGGATCAACACTCAACCACTGAGCCATACAGGCAGCTCTAGGTGCACACTCTTCAAAGTGCATCTTCCTGGATTATGGGTTCGCTGATTTGGGAACCTGTGGCTTTCACAGTCATTTGTGAGCTTGTTTTACAGCTGGATGTAGCTTAGCAGAAAGGAGGTGAAGTCCTAGTATGTGCCATTACTCCCACATTCTAAAAAACTGCACATTGTGGGAAAGGGAGGTGCAAAAAGAAAATGGACTTAAAAACCAAAACTATTTGAATGCTGCTAAAGAAAAATCTCTCCTGACAAATGTTGTTTGAACAACTTGTACTGTTACTTCATTTTCTTATTACTAAGCTGAGAGAGCTGGTTTTACTTCTCTTGCTTCATTATATACCTCATAAATCTCCTAAATTGCTTTGAGATATTTTTAGACCACGATATGCCATAAGCAGTATTTTCAAGCATGCATCTTACTTAGTCAGCGTTTGGGCTTCCAAATAGTATATTTTATAGTCTTTGCTTTCTTCCTCACTCCTGGCCAGATAATGGAGTTGAGGGAATATGATAGGTTTTATTGATAATACAACTTTAAGGAATTCCTAATTAAATATTTTCTTCCTGTTTTAAAGCTAGATCTGAGGAGCAAAAGAAAGACCAAAAGAAGAAGAAAAAAATGTTGGTTATAATGTGACTCCAAGTTCTAAGGGGCTTGAGAAATGGCATTGGTAGAGAAGAGAATATAAAATAGCTCTTAGCCACTATGGTGAATGTGTGGCTCTCTTATCTTTTGCTTTGATTTCTTTTCTCAGATAAATAATTCAGTGTGTTTCAGAGCACTTCTTTCTTTTAACGCTCGGCCCTTTAGCTCTGCTCACATTAACATGGATGGAGGCTCTTCTCTTGGTGCTTGTCCATCTATTTCAGTGTCTACAGCCACTTAGGGTCCACGTCACTTCAGACTTCTTTACTCTGCAGTGTTATGATTTAGCACTGAAGCCACTGGCTCTAGGGGAAGCACGCTTATGCGGTGAGCTAGTTTTATGTCTTAATTCACACAGGCAGAGCTGAAAGTCTGTGTGCTAGCCCATTTATTTTAATTCATCAGTTATCCAGTAGCTCTTAAATCCCAATGTTGATTTGCAGACAAAGCCCCTGGCATTCAGGAATGTCCACATTCACTTGGGTGTTTTTAATTATCCTCATTCACTTAAACCCTAATGGCTTTAAAATAGAAAAGTGGGTAATTGCTACAGCCTAACCATAAAGGCTTTATAGAATTATAAAGACTTAATGGAATTATTTAAAAATATAACTACCGTTTATTGATCATGCATTATAAATCAAACACTATGCTAATTATTTTATAGATGGTAGTTTTATTAAATCTTTTAACAAACCTATGAGATGGAAATGATTTTATTCTATATATGTTACAGATGAGGAAATGAACACTTAGATTACGTAACTTAGTGAAGATGACATACACTTAAGAATAAAGCCAGGATATAAACCCAGTTCTAACAGCCAAGTCCAAATTCTGTAAAGCTAAACCATAGTTTCCATATTTGTCTTCTTAAAGTCAGCAAACCTTTTCTTTTTATTTATTGACTAGAGGCCTGGTGCACAAAATCTGTGCACTCGGGGAGGGGGGGGTCCCTCAGCCTGGCCTGCACCCTCTCGCAGTCTGGGAACCCTCGGGGGATGTCTGACTGATGGTGTAGGCCCGCTCCCCATGGGCCTACGCCATCAGTAGGACATCCTTAGCGCTGCTGTGGAAGCGGGAGAGGCTCCCACCATCACCACTTCACTCGCCAGCCATGAGCCTGGCTCAGGGCTTCTGACTGAGCGGTGCTCCCCCTGTGGGAGCACACTGACCACCAGGGGGAAGCTCCTGTGTTGAGCGTCTGCCCCCTTGTGGTCAGTGTGCATCATAGCGACTGGTCGTTCCATTGTTTGGTCAATTTGCATATTAGCCTTTTATTATGTAGGATTTTAGAGAGAGAGGAAGGAAGAGGGGAAGAGAGAGAAACATCGAGGGGAAAAAGAGACATTGATAGGTTGCTTCCTGCATGTACCCTGACTGGGATTGAACCCACAACCAGGAAAGGTGCCCTCATCGGAAATTGAACCAACAACCCTTTGGTGCATGAGATGATGCCCAGCCACCTGAGCCATACCGGCCAGGGCCAGAGAAGCCTTTCTTAAACCCAAAACAGAAATGCTCATGGGAGCCCAGTGTGCAAAACTGATAAATTACAACAAGAGAGTGTTGGGAGGCAGAGAGAGGGTGGAGGGAAGCTACCAGAAACACCTCACCCCCTGCCATGGCCATATCTGTAGGGGTCCATGGTCCCCTATAGCTCCACAAAGCATAGCTCAGAACCCCTGCTCTGGCCACACTGCTTTCCCTCAAGCAACTCAAGTCCTGAGACCTGCTGTCATAGTAGAGATTCCAGTGATCGGCACTGGAGAGGGGCAGGTTTTACAGACAGCCCTACAGGATTAATTATCAAACAGCCTCGTGCAGCGGTTAGGAACCCAGGCTCTTGTCAGATTTCCTGGGTTCAGTTTCTGGCTGTGGCACTCACAAGCTGAATGTCCTTGGGTAACATGCTTAAACAACGTGTCCTCTATTTCCCTCCCCTGTAGAGCGGAGTAATGGTAGCACCAATGTCACGGGGCTGTGGAGAGCTGCCGGGGTTCTTGTCCCAGCATCAAGAAGGGTTCAGCAAATCTGGAGAAGGCTGTGCATAGATTAAATAGGAGTCCAGAGACGAAGCATAATTTTGAAAGGCATTGGGGGTCAGAGGAGCCTAGCTGAAGGAGCTAAATTCTAAGTTCTTAGGTCTAAGGTCTCCTCATCCCAGGACCCCATGCTTTTCATTAACACAATTTGTCCTGAGGTGAGGCAGAGATATACACTTCAAAGGGTCAGGGTTTCATATACACAAGCATTGTCAGAATGGGGGAATTAGCCTATGGCTGTCCAGGTGTTTGGCCAGTAGGAGGCAATAACATGTAGATTAAGATGCCCTGAGCTCTCTGGCAGCCAAGCAATAATCCCTTTTCAGGTTTGGGGAAATGCCCTCAGCCATTCCCAGATGCAGCCCTGCTGAACATGCTGGAATTGGTTTCTGGCAGAGAGCATTCAGTGAATCCACATAAGCCAAGTGGTTAGGGCGGGGTCTGGCACAGAGGAAGTGCTCCAAGAACATCACCTGTATGTTATCCCTGGTCCTTCAGCATCAGAGCAGCTGAGGACCACCGGCCCTCCACCAGCAGGAACAGGCTGAGAAGCTATGCAAGAGACTGGCCCCGGGATTCTTTGTCAGCTTCCCTGTCTCACTCCATTAGGTTAACCCGTTCTGCCATAATGATTCTCTGGGTTTATTATGGATTAGGGTATCCAGTGTTAACATATTTTTTCATAAAAATGCATTTTATTCTCTATTATCAATTTTTTAAATGTTATTTATTTGGAAATTGCTTAATATTTTCTAGTAAATTTGACAACATAGATAGCGCTTTTATCATCTCAACTCCTCCAATGAATTAGAGCTGAAAATAGTGGACACTATAGGTAAATAAAGTGGGGGAAAAGGGAGGAAGGAAGAGGGGGAAGGAAGGAGGGGAGGTGGAAGGGAAAGAGAGAAAGGAAGAAGAGAGAGAGAGCCAGAGAGAGGGAGGGATGAAGGGAGGAAGAAAGTGGGAAAGCAAACAAGATAGAGAGAAGGAACCCTGTGCACTGATTCTATTCTTATTTGGATTATGGGTACTCACTCTGGTCAGGCGATAAAAATCACCATTCCCCGGACAGTTCCCAGTGAGAAGCCATGGGATACTTTGCAGACCAGTACTGTGTTCTAGGCTTCCTTTAGTTTGAGGCTCTGTGAGCATGTCTAAGTACATTTTTTAAAGATGGTGCCATCTTTTCCTAGATGACATGCAACTGTTTGACTTATTTTGGCTCAGTTGGGTTTGAAATCATTTACTTGCTTGTTCAAACAGATGTGACTGCACCCCAGGCTACATCGGCGAGCACTGTGACGTGGATTTCGACGACTGCCAGGATCACAAGTGTAAAAACGGGGCCCACTGCACGGACACAGTGAACGGCTATACGTGCATCTGCCCCGACGGTTACAGGTGCGAAGAGAAGTTCACATCTGTGTGGAGAGTTAGGGCTCACGGGATTCCGTGCACAGTGGCCATTCAGTAACACCTAATCAGCATGTTTCTCTTCTTTCCCTAGTGGCTTGTTCTGTGAATTTTCTCCGCCCATGGTCCTCCCTCGAACCAGCCCCTGTGACAATTTTGAGTGTCAGAATGGAGCTCAGTGCATCATCAGGATAAATGAGCCCGTATGCCAGTGTTTGCCTGGCTACCAGGGGGAGAAGTGTGAGAAGCTGGTTAGTGTGAATTTTGTAAACAAGGAGTCCTATCTTCAAATTCCTTCGGCCAAGGTTCGGCCTCAAACGAACATCTCACTTCAGGTAAGGTTCCCCCCACCAGCAAGAGCCGATCTCATCGAAAGCCAAATCCAGCTCTACAGCATAAACACGGTGGTGGTTTGGGAGTGATGTTATTTGTCACATAGACAGTTACAGGCCGCAGAACACAATAACAGACAGCACCCCCTGTGGGAAAGCGTCAGTCTTCTCGCCAACATTTATGTTTTTCTAAGCTAAGTGGGAACCGGGCATTTTTATTCATTACTTGTTTGAGAAAATCACACACACAGTAACAAAATATATATCTTTGTTTTGTGCTTGGGTAAAGGCTTTTTATTCATTTATCTTTATGACTGCAGTCCGGGCTCTACACTCTGCAAAATATCCAGCCAGCATCTTACAACTTTCCAACCGGAAACCTTTGAGAATAGACATGAAATTAACAAACAGATTTATTGCTAGTCTTTCCACCAAGTCACCTTTACCTCTGAGTCAGTGATTCAGTGCCCTGTAGACAAGGTCAGAGTAGATTAGAGGTAATACCTGTAGGTGACAGGGGGCAGGTTAGTTTTATCCAGTAAATAAAATATTTTATATGTTTTGAGTTCAAATGGTTTTAGCCTGTTTCTTATCAGTCCCACTCTGCATTTGGTTTACCTTGGCACCCAGGGAGGGGCGGGGCGTTCTTTAGAAGTCACGGGGAATGGGACCCCGGGAGGCAGCCAGGCCTTCTTCACGAAAAAGCCTGTCTCCCTGGCTGCCAGCAGAGCCACACTGATTGTTATGAGAAGTGCCCAGTGCTGTTTGGGCTTAGGTCCTAACTTTAACAGAACTGCTTCATTAAAAGCCAGAAAGCAGGGCAAAAAGAGAGATTTCCCTCTTCTCATGCCATCACTATGAAGAATTTGCTTCTTTATATGAAATATGAAAGTCGACCTTGCTCAGCGCAGTCGCATTTCACATATGCCATAAATACAGTCCATTACAGAAGCAGGGCGAGCAGGTGAGTGAAAAGCTGCAAGTGCAAGCACAGGCAGCGGTGTTTACTTAGGTGCATGTTATTGTTCTTTTTCAACAGAACAGAAACACCACCATTTTTATTCCTGATTAGACGTTATCATTCTCTGCTGAGAAAATATAGTTGATAGCTAAGGAGGAAAGCTTGATTTCCGTTAGATATTGTGCACTCTAATGCTGTGGAAAATATTTTCCAGCTTTAATTTCCCGAAGTGTAAATTAGGTATGTAAATTCCTTGTTTTTGCATATTTCATGGGACATGCATCTTGAAGCTTTGGCATTGCCCATATGTACAGGAAGAGTAAAAATATGTTTATGAATGTATTTTTAAAGTTCCTTAGGAATTTATTTGCAAGAAAGTAATTTAGACTAGGCCATCTTTCAAGTAATGATTTCAACGTACAGTATCGTATTTTCTCATAGCCATAAGGAAAACATAAAGCTTAGAAAAAAACCCTTCACTAAGCAGTCTTGTTTCTTTTTGATGAAATGTGTTTGGGTGACGACCCATCCTACTAACGGAAGTGTCCTCCCCCCTAGATCGCTACCGATGAAGACAGTGGGATCCTCCTGTACAAGGGGGACAAGGACCACATCGCTGTAGAGCTCTACCGGGGACGCGTGCGCGCCAGCTACGACACCGGCTCTCACCCGGCCTCTGCCATTTACAGGTGAAGATCTCTCAGTTACTGGGAAAGGTGAAAACTATTGTTTCATGAAGCACTGCTTCTCTGTTGTTTTGTAATGCGGAGGGGAGGGATCAGTTGGCTCCAGCAGACTCTGTGATGAGTGTGTTACCCATGGCATGAGTTGGATAATTGCGGGAAAGTCATATTATAGGACTACAGGTCTCCCCCGCTACCCAAGAGTAGAACCTTCCCACAAAACCCTTTGTAAACCGAAATGGAGTAAAGCAGAAAAGCCATTATCTTAGGACATATCTGCTAAAGGACGCACAAAATACACAGAGGTAGAGCACAGATATTCTCACAGGCAGTTCAAAGCTAGGGTGGCGGGATGCTGAGATTCTGGGTATGGGTCCTGGGAAGGAGCTTGAGGCTACCACAGTTGCTGCCCCGGGGCCTCACTGTCTCTACAGAGGCTCACTGAAAAACAAACGCTACTAGTACTTCCCTTTCTAAAAGAAAAGCTAAAGTGTCTTATCTTCCCATTCCTTCAGTCAGATTCCTTTCTTTTGGTTAGGAAAGCAGGTGCTAATGCAGTGTCTCTCTTAAAGTAAAGTGGAAGTAGAGTGAGCTTTTGAAAAGTGGGGAACACCTGTACTTACAAAGCTTGGTAGGGGTAGTATTTTGCCCTGGGGCTAGAAAGGAGGGCTGCTGCTCCCACCCATCTGCCTGTAGGAGTGAGAGGAGGCAGAGGCTATGGAAATACAGGACCAGAAAAGGGATGTGGAGAGGATTGCAGGGCAGGAGCTCTGACCTTCAGTGAAGTGAGCCCCCAAGGAAGGAACCAGGGTTTTAAATACACAACCTCACTCTCCTACCTCCCAACAATCTCCTGCCTGGTGCTTCCCTGTGGCCAAATCAGATGCCAGAAAACAATGAGCCCACTAGTCCCAGTAATGTAATGTAAGTCACACTGGAGCTTTCAGAGCCCGTAAAGATCTGTGGAGCATAGCTCTAGAGAAACAACTGCAGTAGAAACTCAGCACAGTGAGAAATATAAAGTTACTATTCATGCAACACATGTTTATTAAGCACCTACTGTGTGCTAGGCCCTGTTCCAAACTTTCAGGAACAAAACTCCTGCCCTTAGAGAGCTTTCATGTAATAAACCAATGGTTGCATAGAATTTATCATAGATAATTTTATCATTCATTTTGGAAGTCTTTTTTAAAATAATATAATGATATTGATGATGCATTGGCGACGTGAAAGGGAAGGTATTTATGAGGCAGAAGACTAACCTTCAGAGTCCCTCTGTCCTGTCTCAACACTAACTCTGTCATCCTGCAGAAAAGTTACCTAGTAAATTTCTTCACATGTAGAAACAGAGTAGTCACACATTTAGAGCAGGGTCATAACGCTATATGCAGTCTGTTTTCCTAGGCAGGTAATTTAAATGAACAAAACAGACCAATTGAAAGAAAAGAATATATTCTCATTCTGTTGCTTATATATATATATATATATATATATATATATATATATATATATATATATATATATGGTTATTGATTTCAGAGAGAAAAGGAGAGGGAGAAAGAGATAGAAATATCAATGATGAGCGATAATCATTGATCGGTTGCCTTCTGCACGCCCCCTACTGGGGATTGAGCCCACAACCCAACATATGCCCTGACCAGGAACTGAACCATGACCACAGGGTTCATAGGTCCATGATTAACCACTGAGCCATGCCCTGGGCATCATTTTGTTTCTCTTGAAGAGATCTAACGTTTAAGAGACCTATTCCTTTATTACAAACAGCTTGATGTTGGCAATGCAATAGGAGTGGTTGTGATGGGGTGAACCAAAAGCAAATCTTTGTCCAAACAGGACTAGGCTACATCTCCTCAGTTCTCCCTGAATCTGCCACATTTGCTACAACTCCAGCTTTTCCAACTAAAGGCAGAAATATGAAGTTTTTTAACTATAAAGTTTTCCCTCCTTTAAATATTGATTCAGATTATTCAGAATTTGTCATAGATAATTTAAATACCCTTTGATAATTTAAAATACCCTTTGTGGTGAACACAGTGCATCTGTAGGCCAAACAAGCTTGACAACTAATATGTGGGCATTGATTGGGACTAAGTAGAGATACTGGCCTGTATGTTGTTTGTGTTATTCATATATATATATATTCAATGTGTTTCAAAAGCCTTCATATCCTATTTAATCCTCCATAACAGTTCCAGGAAAGTCAATGCCAATTGTAGCCATGAATGGAATCCTTTTGGTGGTGAGCTAACCCATTTGGGAATATTTACATCATGGAAACAAACACATAATTATTGGTTTCCAAGTGAAATGAGATAGTTTCTCCATCTCCAAATGGTAATGAATTAGTCCCAACACTGAAGGTATTGATAGACCTTAAATCATATAGCCTCAATTTGATTCAGCCCATAAAAAGATTGCAGAATATTGATTTTGTGGTTCATTTTTGGGATTGATGTTTTTGTTTTATTCTATGCAGTGAAACAGTAGAATACTTTCAGAAACCATAATAAAGGCTCTTGAGGTTAGCTTATTAAAGCTAGTTCTCACAAAAATATGTATATTTAAAGCATTTCTAGATAAGTTGTAGAAACCAGGATAAGTTATATCCAAATGAGGAATTACTATAAAGAGCTTATTTTGAGTTTATGTTCATTACCATTTTTGCCTAACAAGCAATAGAGTACACCCTGTGGCATTTATAAATACCATTAATACCATGTGACTCATTTTACAATATGAATCAGAAGTCTAGGAAAAGCATCGTTTTTAACTAATGCTTGCTCTTCAGTTTATGGCACAACACTCAAGAAAAGTTATTACATTTTTTAAGGAAAAGAAAAGAAACAACAATTACCTGAAATTCAAATAGAGAGATGATAGTCTGACTGAATTGATTAATATGTATTACATGTAAACTAGAGGCCCTGTGCATAAAATTCGTGCACAGGTAGGTCCCTAGGCCTGGCCAGCGATCAGAGCCAATCGGGGTCTTCCGCTGCCGGCCGGGGCCTTCCTTCCCCAGTTGCTGGCTGCCAGCCAGGGCCTTCCTTCGTTCCATGCCACCCCCTGGTGGTCAGCGCATGTTATAGCAAGCGATCATATTCTTAGTTTCCCAGTCAAACTCCCAAGGGGACACTTTGCATATCAGCCTTTTATATATATATAAAGAGAGAGAGAGAGAGAGAGAGAGAGAGAGAGAGAGCGCGAGGGCCTAGTGGCCCGGTGCATGAAATTCAGGGGGGCTGTCCCTCAGCCCAACCTGCACCCTCTCCAATCTGGGACCCCCCTCAGGGGATGTCTGACTGCCAGTTTAGGCCCGATCACCCACATCCCTCTCACAATTCAGGACCACTGGCTTCTAACTGCTTGCCTTCCTGCCTGCCTGATTGCCCCTAACTGCTTCTGCTTGCCATCCTGATTGCCCCCTAACCACTCTCCTGCCGGCCTGATTGCCCACAACTGCCCTCCCCTGCCAGCCCGATTGACCCCAGCTGCCCTCCCCTGCTGGCCTGATCGCCCACAACTGCCCTCCCCTGCCACGACCCGCCTCCTCCACGCAAGGTGGCAGAGACGCCAGGACCAGCCTCCTCCATGCCGAGCAGAGCCGCAGGACCCCCAGGCCTCACTGTGCGGAGCGGCTGCCAGGCCCCACCTCCGCTGTGCACGTGGCCATCTTGTGGCAGCCATCTTGTGGCAGCGTCATGCACGAGGGCCACCTAGGCTTTTATTAGTATAGATATAATATGCATATATCAATTTTCCAATTTTTAATAGAAATTTGGTTTTGTATAATAGAGACCACAGGGAACAATTAAATTATTTTAACACCCTGGTATTTGACAGGTAAGAATCATAGTGCCTAAGATGTGTGTTCAGATCTAGACTTGGCCAATTACTAGGATATAAACTCAGGCAAGGTACATAATTTTCTGTACCTCAGAACTCATTTCTGTAAATAATGTAGCATCTTCCCTATAAGGTTTTTCTGAATATTGAATTGTAAACTCAACGCTGTCCTCACTCCCCATTTTCATTGTCTTCATTCTCATTTACCTAGTAGCAATACAGGAAAATTTTCCTGGTAGCTCTTTCTGGGGTGTAGCAGAGGAGTTAAAAGTGTACCCTCAATCCTTATACATTAACACTAGAAGTATAGCTTGTTTACAGTTTCTATGGAGAGCATTTTGAAAATATCTATCAAAATTACAACTGTATTTACTCTCTAACCTATAAAATCCCACTTCTGGAAATTGTTCCTACGAATATAGCTGAAGACATAGAAATAACATGTGTGTTGGGTAAGTTGCTGTGGCATTGGCTATAAAGACAAAGGTTAGGAAGCAACCTAGTTTTTATCTAAGTAAACTATGTACAGTACATTCACAAAATAGAATGCACTGTTAAAAAGAAAAGGAAGGGAGGGAGGGAGGGAATGAGGAGGTTCTCTATGTATTACATTGGAAGGTTTCCAAGGTCTATTGCTCAGTTCAAAGGGGATAAAAAAATTAAGGCAGAAACAGTGTCAAACATGGGTGAATTTTTGCATTTCTATCTCCATGTATTTGCATAGACAAACTAGGGAAGAGAGGAAACAGTTGGTTGGAAGCAAGACTTGTATGTGAAATACCATTCGATATCATTTGGGTTTTTGAACTATTTGAATGTTTGCTCAAACTGAAAATTCAAGTAATCAAAAGGAACAGGTGCTCTAAAGACAATGTGACTTAATTCCAGTCCCAGCTCTGCTGTCTGTTACCTGTGCATCTTGAGCATATGGCTTAAGCACTCTGGGCCTCACCTGGTAAATGGTGATAACCTATCAGAGTTCTGTCTTTGTGGGACTGTGGTAAGAATTTTATGATTTGATACATGTAAAATATTTAGAACAATGCATGCCAAATAGTAAAAATGATAGCTATTGGGATTATCATTTCGGAGTATCCAAAACTGGGTTCATTTCCTTTGCTTCACCCAAACCTGGGTCC